TACTCATTTAGTATTTGTTTTGGTTCATTCACGCTCATAACCACATGAAAGTTTATTTCGATGTAGCGATCGACACATTTGTTCAAACTACATAATCTGGTAATAAACTACACTTCACATGACCATAAAGAAAAAATGAAGTAGCAAGTTCGTTAACACGTTTTTCCTTCAACTGGATTTAATATTGTGTTGAAGAGATATCTATCTAACAAAAAAAAACATGTACTTGTTAAACATGTACAAGTATCATGTGACGTTCAAAACACTATTTTACTAATTTGGAGTGAATTTGAAACCCCTGGACCCAAAAACGGCATGCTGCCATTTTACACATAAGGGTGCCATTTAGGGGTAGAGTATATAATATACAAAAACATAGCAATTGTGATCGTTCAATATGTACAACTGAAATCGAGACCCTGTTATCCAAAATGACATAATATCATGTTACAAGTATGACTTCTGTTTAAGATATACAAAACATAGCACATCTCCCACTGAAAGCGACCCATCACCTAAAATGGTACATGAACGTTTTAATCGTATGACTGTCATAAAAATTGCAACTCCATTTCAACTCTAACTGCTTCAATATTTGAATAAAACATTAATTCAATTGATAGAAAAATTTCATTGCAACACTAGTCGACATCCATACACATGTTCCCTAATCAATCATAAAAACCAGTACTAACTAGACCAAATCAGCATCTAAGTCATAAACTTTCCAACCACATAAAATAGAAAAATATACAAAGAAAACATTTATTGATCAAAATGTATAGCAAAAACTTCAACAGCTAGTTTTTTCCTCCAACATTCAATCATATTATCATATATAAGTTTCACATCTAATCCAGCTAACAAAAGTTCTATAAACTGGATAGTGTATATTCCGCAATCTTTCCTACAACGATATTTGCAATTAAAAATATAATATATATAATATTAAAGCAATGAAAATATAAAGAATGTTAAATATTGATTATTTATGCATTGTTTTGTTGTGGAACATCTACATGTCGACGCCAATCAAACTACTTCTGTGGATAATTTTTCCCAAACAACAAACTTTCCTTCATCATCCTAGGAATCACCATCACAATTGGACGCATGACTTTTTGCTATTTTCCAAAACGTGTGCAACACTTCTTGCTATCGTATACAGATACAGTAAGTTCGGCAATGTGCACATTAAGTGTAATCCAATGCTTCATTTCCACGA